TTCCTTCATATGTAGTGAATTTCGGCTGAAGGAAGCCTGATGGTAGGGGCGCGTTTTCGATCGCTGGAACAAATGGTGAAGTCTGTAGTCTTGCCAATGCTTTGTCCGTTGGTTCGTAGGCTGGGCGCGGTATTGGCATTCCATCCTCGACGCTTCCATGCGTCCGAGGAGCCAACCGCTGTAAGGCAGAAACTCTGTGCGGATCCCGCGCCCTGGCATCCTCCTTGCATCGTGCTTTCTCTTCGAGCACGGTTCGTAAGTCGGATGATCTGGGTAATTCTGTCTGTCTAGATCTAGTTTGATGCGAATGAGAGGGCCAGTATGTGCTTCCTTCAGTGTATGATCTTTCCGACTTCGTCCTCTCAGACCTGGAGTGACGAGTTCTGGAAGACCATGATTGAGTATCGCCTGTCCTGAGGCTTCTACTCTCTCCTTGTGAGGGTGTAGTATTCCTACTACGATTTTTTGAGTGGCGATGGGGCGTCTTGTTTTTGCGTCCCTCTCCTGTCGCCACTTCTTTTTTCTTTATCTGGTGTTTCAAGGCCTCCATGTTCGCCGCCATCTTTCTGATCAATTCATCTTGCTCTTTCACGCGATCTTCTAGAGCTTGAGGGTCAATCCTCCGCCTTTGCCTGTCAGGACTTTGCGAGCGAGAGTGACGGGGGCTGTTAGTTCGCCTCCCCCTTGTATCCCTCCTGGTGTTATGTCGTTGGGGCTCCAAGTCCGCCATGGGAGGGACAGAGGGTAATCCTTCACGCCTTGCGCCCCTTTCTGGAGTTAGCCCGTCGACGGCGGACTGCGGCAATTCTTCAATGTGTGCCATTGATCGTAAAGGGGAGAAACTTTAATCAAGAGGTTTTGTTCTGTCTGTATTTCCCACAGACGGCGCCAATTGTACAGGGAAGAAATAATTCTCCTCGTATAATCCTGTTGACTAAGTCCACGTTTCTCCGTACGACGTCGCTTTGTCACTTGAAAACACAAACGTGAGCTATCCGGCGGGTGTGTGCCGGAAACCTCTCCGATGCCTAAGTCAGAAAACTTGACAAATAGACAAAGCTCAATGTATTCAGGAAGCAAAATTGTATGTTGTGTTATGTTACCTCCTCCAAGGTGATGCTTGTGAGCTTTTATAGGTTTCGAGTGGCCCAATCCTAGTAGGACTTTTATTCCTCCATGCAGAGTCCTCCTAGGATTCATACTTCTAAAGGATAATGCTTATCCTTTTACACCCCCCCACTGCTTAAACCAAGTGGGATGGTTTTTACCGCGGCCGAACTACCAATTGACCGAAGTAAACTGGCTAAGCTGAGTCACAAGGTAGGCCGAACTATCCTTAGTTCGGCCCTTCCTTTTACTTCTCATCTCGGTTCTTCTTTGTATGAATCATGATATGTTGGGACCAAGCTACCGAGTAGCAAGGTCTTGACCGATCTATCCAGAATACGTCATGACCGGACTAACTCGGAGACCGGACTAACTCCAAGTCGTCCAAATCGAAGTAGCTTCACAATTCTTGAGCCGAAGTAACTTCATCTTTTTTTGCCGAAGTAACTTTATTTCTCTTGGGCCGGAGTAACTTCTCGGCCCATTTTACCCAGCCCGTCGTACTTTGGGCCATAAAGTCCATCTCATAGCTCGACCCAATTTTCACCAAAAATTACCCTCTCAGTTATGTTATTTTCTTTTTAAGTTACGATATTATTTTAATTATAACTCATGATATCTTTAGTTATATACCTCATGTTATATTTTGTTATGACATTTTTTTTAATTTTTTAATTATGAATAAAATGTATAAAATTATGTAATTTCCTTATTTAGTTGTGAGATGCATATACCGTAATATTTTTCCTATTTAAGGGGTTTATTGCCCTCGTTTGGCATATTAGTTTTAGGAAAAAAAAGGCTAAAATAATTACAAAAATATAAAATAAGTAAAAAAGTTAAGAAAATAAAATATTACATTCAAATTATAATCATTTTATTTTTTAAAAAAACCTAAACTTTTTAGCGCATATTAAAATAATTAAAAAAAAAATCCAAAAAGCTAGCCCTAAAATATATAATGACTTCTTTTAACAATTAGCAAATGCGGATCCGGGTTTGGATAAGAAAAATAAAATCGGAGCGGTCTGCGGATTCGCTGACAAAATCGAATCCCAGAAAACTGTTATGATTGCCTTTACCTTGCAAGCACTGTACAAACTCTCTCTATCTCTCTCTATCTCTCTCTCATTCATGTAAATCTTCGACTCTCTGTCTCTCTAAACCCAGGGAAACATCAAAACGATGAAGAACAACAACAATTCGGCGGACAAGGGTCGGACATTGCCGGTGGACCCGAACCTCCCGAGATGGATTTGCCAGAACTGTCGCCACAACCTCTGCATCGTCGGCGTCGATTCTTACGCCGACAAGTTCTTGAACGATTCATCCTCTCGTTCAGGTCTCTCTCTCTCTCTCTATATATATATATTTACGATTCAATTGGTTAATTTATGGTAACAATTTTGACATCTTATCTGAACCTTTTGAATTACCTAATCGAATTCGTTTATTGTTGGCACGAATTCATCTAACAGAGTGTGCATGTGTTGCAAATTCAGATGCTGCAATTTATTTTAATGTAACCCTACTTGGGTTTACACATGAGCTAAATTAATTTAATGTTTATGGAACTTATAGTTATAACTGTATCAGATCATTTGATATCTTACACTAGTTGCTTGCTTGCACATATATATATATATATATACTAGCAGCGGTGCAAATGCAATGGGTTTGCAATTTGTGTTTAAATTTTTGGATGGTTTGTTCATTGAGGGGCGATTTGATGACAATTTTAGACAGTTTAATGAATGAGAAAACCGTTAAGCAGTTATTAGATATGAGAGTTAAAGGGCATTATTTGAAGAAAAAAAGTTAAAGCCTTCACACTCAGTGGTCGCTTGGGAATTGATTATTTCAGTAGCTTTTTAGTTTTTTACGAAAAGACGTGTAGAAAGAAGAGAGTGATTTGGCAAGTATTTTTTGGCTAAAAACATATGTTGCCAAATTTTTAGACAGTTTAATGGATGAGAAAACTGTTAAGCAGTTATTAGATATGATAAAGGGCATTATTTAGAAAAAATAAAGAAGAAAAAAAAAGCCTTCACAATAAGAGCTCATTTGGAAATTGATTATTTTAGCGATTTTTTGACTTTTATGAAAAGACGTGTAAAAAAACAGAGTGATTTGACAAGCTTTTTGGCTGAAAATGCGTGCTGCCAAACAGCCCCTAAGGCTGTACACTTCACATGATAAATATATATGTAGAATATATAAAGATAGATAATGGTATAGTAGTTTGTTTTAATTTTCTAGGACTAGCATGGACATTGATTTTATATGGAGAAATTTGTGTTATAGCACGATTTCAAGAGTTTTTTATTTTTTATTTTTTATTTCTCTTTCAGTTACTTGCAGACAGATTTGAGTTTATGCACGAGCTGGGTTTCTGTTTATAAATTGATTGCTTCACTGCATTTGTGTAGAGCATGCTTTTGTATGTCAAGTTCTAATTTGGCCCATTGTTAAGATGTGATCATGACGTTAGGGTTCAACTTCAATTGCAATTTGGGATAAACCGTGCAGGTATGCAGGGTTCTTCAATCCATGGTGCTGCAGGCAGTGTGTTGGGGTCAACACGTATGGACCATTCATTTGTTGTATTGCCGAAGCAAAGAAATCAAGTGTCGGGAGTACCTCCTCGTCCTCGTGGTGGAGGGGTGCAGCCTGATACAAGCCAGTCTGGGAAGGCAATGGAAGAATCTTTCGTGGTGTTGCCCCCGCCGGCTGCTTCCGTGTACAAGAGTGACTCCACATCTGATGGAGGTGGGGCCCATTTGCCGTCACCTGATGGTGGCACAGGTGCTCCTATGCAGCCAAACAATTCTGGGTTTCACTCAACCATAACTGTTCTTACGCGTGCGTTTGATATTGCCACAACCCAGACACAGGTAAACCCAAGTAGTATTATGTTCTTGATGACAAAGGAACTTGGTTCTAAATAACAATCAGTGTGTTTGGTTTGAGTTTTTTGAATTAAGTTTTTTGAAAATTAAATTTTTTATTTTTAGTGTTTTTTTTTTTGTTTTTAGTGAATATTTTTAAAATTTTAAGCATTTTTTTATATGCATCTTACTTAGATGTGTCTAAAAAGTAAAATATTTGTGAAAAATATTTTAAAAAATTAATAAATATACAAAAATGCAAAAAATGTACTAAATTTTTGTTTTTTGTTTTGTTTTGTTTTGATATTTAGTGAATTTTTTAAAGGTTTTTTTCACAAAAATTATACTTTTTAAGTGTATTTATGTTGGGTGTGTCTTAAAATTTAAAAAATTGTTTAAAATATTTAAAAATTTCAGTAAAAACAAAAAAATACGGAAAATAAAAAAGTAGAATTTTCTGAAAAGTGTTTTTAGAAAACTCAAACCAATTGGTTTGAAAATTTGGTTCATTCAGAATTTGATATGGAAAAATTGGTATTTATTTGTTTTAATTTGTTTAGGTTGAGCAACCTTTATGCCTAGAGTGCATGAGGGTGTTATCTGATAAACTTGATAAGGAGGTTGAGGATGTGCACAGAGACATCAAAGCATATGAAGCCTGCCTCCAGCGCTTGGATGGGGAATCACGGAATGTGCTTAGTGAGGCTGATTTTCTTAAGGAGAAACTAAAGGTGCATTAATTTATTTAATAACATGCTCCTGTGTATAAATCACTTTGTGGGTTTTTTTATTCATTAAATAATTGAGTAAAATATATAAACAAATGATTTTGTGGCTTCTAACTCTGTTAGACATATAAACAAATGATTTTGTGGCTTTAATTTATTTGATAACAGATGATTTCTCACAAAATTTGTTAGATGCATGCACAAACAACTTTTTTTTTGGAGTATCAAGTTTAGCGATTGCATGACTATGGGGGCAATCTTTTTGGATCACTACTAATACGAGGGAAGAATATTCATATATTCATATTACTGTCACTGTGATGTTCTGGTGATAAAGATTCCAAGTTTTAAGTAATCATTTTTTCATTCTGTTATTTTAAGTGTTAATTAACTCTCTTTTATCTCTTTTTTTCATGTCCCTTTCCTCCCTTTTATTCGAGGTCTAGAACAGAAGGAAATCTTATTCAAAAATGCGGAAAACATGTTAAAAATAAATATGTACAGAAGCATTAAAGGAAAACTGTTGTTGGCTAATTATTTGTATGGTGGCTACTCAACTTTAGATAGAAGTGAACAATTTTTTCAAGGCAACTGATAGGCCTTTATAAATATATTAATCAACTTTCATATCATTAAAGAAATTGAGGTGAAGGTGGCTTAGATGCACATGTATGTGCTATTCTTTCACAATCTTACAAGGTGAGAAATCCTTCATGGCATATTTTTAACAGATCAGACATGCAATTAATGTATTTTCTTCTTACCAGTTAGTATTTTATGGAAAATATTTTTATTTTGGGGTTCACAATGTTCATATTTAAGATTGAAGAAGAAGAACGAAAACTCGAAGCAGCTATTGAAGAAACAGAAAAGCAGTGTGCTCAAGTGACTGCCGAACTGAAGGAATTGGAGTTAAAATCTAGCCGCTTTAACGAGTTAGAGGAGCGGTGAGTTTCTTGAAATGAAATTGCTCAGTAAAGTGACGTCACTATTTGAATGGCTTTCGATGAAATATTAAATTATTAGACTGATTATTAAGGATATGATTTTGTTTGTAAAGTTTGTTTATTTAGAACATGCTATTTATATTTTATATCATTTATACTTGTCCATCAAAATATTTACTTGCTAATTCTTCCTTTGTTTTCAAACTTATGTGTATCAGGTATTGGCATGAGTTCAATAATTTTCAGTTTCAGTTAATTTCACATCAGGTGTGCTACTGTTAACCTTCGTCTTTAGGATTTCGTTTCCTCCAGTTATTACATGAGTTTACATTATTCTGGAGTTTGGAGTTGTCAACCGGTGATAATTTATGCTTGTTGAGTGCCATTGAAGTTACTTAAATTGCTCTTATGCACATCTCGTGGTGTGGCAACTACAGTGTTGTAGTGAACCTGTTAATGTTGAAGGGAACTGTGATTTTCTTTTCTTCTTCTTATTTATTTATTTATTTATTTTTGGATACTCCTGAAATGTGGATATATATATTAATGTTTCCATAAAATTGTCGATTGAGCAGAATCTTTTTCTTTTTTATGTTGTGCATGAAGTACATATTACTGCCACCCACATTTTACCTTGATGTGGTAGTCCTAGCCAGATCTCTCATTCTCATCCATCCACTATTCTGACTGTCTTCATTGGAGTTCTGTATTTTTTCCTTGATTGCTCTGTTTTTTATTTGCACTTCATTGGAGTTTTGTATTTTTTCCTTGATTGCTCTGTTTTTATTTGCAAATGTTTTGCTGTGTTGTCAAAACATGTCTTTGAAATGTTAACTTGGTTTTGGTCAACAGGAAGAGAGAGATGCAATTTTGGCCAAAATTGAAGTTTCACAAGCACATTTAGAGTCATTGAAGCGAACTAATGTGCTCAATGATGCCTTCCCTATCTGGTATGATGGAGAATTTGGAACCATTAACAACTTCCGATTGGGAAGACTTCCTAAAATTCCGGTAAGAAAACTGCGGGAACATACTCAGATATTGTCTTTGGATGGGTCAACTTAATGTCTATGCTAGTATCATCTGCACAAAATAAACAAAAGTGTTAGGCCGTCAGGAAGTGTATGTTGGGTCACAGTAGTTAGTCTGATCTTTTTGTTTTGTAGCTTTAACCCGTGAGATACTCTCGATTTAAAAATAAATTTGAGAGCTGTCTAGTTCTCTGTGCCATGAGCTTATGCAAGAAACATACATCGCGTCTCATTTGGTACACCATTATTGGAGCAGTTGATTTGCTGATTCGATGGCGAGATACCCTACACAAATGTTGTGTTTCACTATATAAAATCAAGTTCCTAGTCTGTTAATTTTGGGTTGATATTGCGAGCCCTTATTGGGTGATATTTTACCAACATATAGTTCTGTGAATTTATTTTTGGGTGAATTATACTAACAGTCTCTATAATTTGAGGTTCGTGCCACTTTGGTCCCTGAATTTTTAATTGTGATACATTTGATCATGAATTTTGAAACTTGTTCCAAATAAGGACAATTGAAGATACCATTGCTCAATTTCAAGGGCAAATGCGTCAATTTCAAAATACAAACTAATTTGACAAAGATAAATATCAAAAAATATTTTTGAATCGTTAAAAATAATTTCTACCCACCAAAGATAAAATTATGTAAAATTGATAAATTTTTTAGACATTTATTTATTTTAGCAAAGTAATTTTTATGATGTGTTTGTATGATAATCATGTAATGGGTGATTGTTAAGCTTTTAATGTGTAATCGATATATTTAATATATGAAATGTTTTTAGTTTTGGATTTTTTGATTTAATAGATTGGTTTAATAATAATATCAAAGTTGTCGCCATATTTGACTTTCGGAAAAATAGAAACTAATTTAATGAAAATAAAAACAATCACCTATTACATGATTATCATCCAAATACATAATAAAAATGATTTTGGTAAAATAAATAAATAAATAAATGTCTAAAAAAATTATTAATTTTACATAATTTTATTTTTAGTAGGTAGAAATAATTTTTGAAATTCAAAAATATTTTTTTGACATTTATTTTTGTCAAATTAGTTTGTATTTTATCAAATTGAAGATTTTGCCCTTGAAATTGAACAATTTCAGTTTTCCTTATTTGAAATAAGATTTAAAATTCAAGGTCACATGTGTCACAATTGAAAAGTTAAGGACCAAAGTGACACAAGACCCAAACTATAAGGACCGTTAGTATAATTCACCTTTATTTTTCAAACATATTGATGTTCCTCAAGTCTTGACATGGTAGGGAGGATTGTTTCTTATACTACTTAGTCAATTCGTAATCTTGGAATGCATTTTTGATACCTCTCTTTATCTTGTGGCAATATATTGATTATGTTTGGGAAATGGTTAGGTTGAGTGGGATGAGATAAATGCTGCTTGGGGCCAAGCTTGTCTTCTTCTTCACACAATGGCTCAATATTTTCGACCAAAATTCCCGTATCCTTTTTATTGGAACTGAGCATCTTTGTTACGTAATTACATTTCTCTTGTTGAAATGAACCTTCTGTAAGTAGTTCCATCAGCCAACTGAATGGAATACTATATGTATCTGCTCAATTTTGTTGCAAGCTATGTGTACTTGTATGTTGAGTAACATAGGCCTAGATGCATGAGTATGCCACCATTGACCTAGATATTTAGTGGCAGAGCATGTGTAATGTGTATGATGTGTTTATTATTGTTATATTTTGTACTTCTCTCGTTAGATTGCTAGAATTAGGTTTAGTTTAGTAGTTATCTAAATAGAGTGAGACCTTAACTTGGGCTTGATCACTGCTGAATTCTGTTGACAGGAAGGTTTTTGTGTTACACATTTGTGGCCTTGTCGAGTCATCTTGTTTATAGAAATTTACATGGAATCTGCTTCTCACCACTGAGAAACTGTGGAAACTTCAACTCAATAACAATTAGGCAGATAAACCTTTCACCTTTCTTCTTGTTTTACAACTGAAAAGGGTTTTGATATAGAAAATTTCTTTCAAGGTAATGTTGAAAGTTTTGTTTTTGCTCTCATAGGTTGATGTTTTGGGAAAATTTTATTCTGAAGAAAATGGTACTCATGAAATGCTTACTGATGTGAAGCCAAAGTTAGCCACATCATTCTAACAAAAGTCATCTGTATTCATTGGCACGTGTTGTATACTTAATTTATTGGTATTCAGATATAGGATAAAAATCCTTCCCATGGGGAGCTATCCTCGGATAATGGACAGCAGCAACAATACATATGAACTGTAAGTACAGATTACTGATTCTTCATTGGCCTATTTGAATTGATTCAGAATTTCAAAGTAGATGCAGCTTAGATTTGAATAAAGTACTAGTACCTAGCAGTACATGGCGCATATGAAGGGTTGTTTTGATCCACTGTTTGATGGACTCGCTAAGAATTTGCTCAAGTGGCCTGCCTAGATAATTGTAATTTGTATCGCAACTTCATAAAGCCTATAGGCCCAACACTGAGGCATGGATTGTGCTTCACTATTTACCCCTATCTGGGGCCAAATTTTTTAATTAAATGATTTGTCATTACTCCTGTAATTATTATATATCATGCACTATTACAAATTATAACTATGCCATACCCGTAACATATCCATACTGACATTCATACTTGCACCCGTGCTTCCTAGTTGGAAACTAACCATTCAAGCATACTTTTTATGTATGTTTGGCACCAGAATTTGATATTTGGCCAATTTATCCTCTTCACTTCTCTTGATTTTTCTTTTCCCTATAGAATTTTTATGTAAAATATGCACTACTACAAATTATAAAAATATATATTTTTTTATGGGTGTACTCTGGTCGTGCCCGTATCCTTTTTGTTTTTTAGGTTTCACCTTATTTGCATACTGTAACGTATCCATACCCGCATCCGTACCCACACCCGTGCTTCCTAGTTGGAAACTAACCATTCAATCATTTTATGTATGTTTCACACCCAAATTTGATATTTGGTCAATTTATCCTCTTCACTTCTCTTATCTTTGTTTTCCCCTATTGAATTTTCAACCTGATACAAGTTTTCTCAGGTTTGGTCCGGTGAACTTGTTTTGGAGCACTCGCTATGACAAAGCCATGACATTGTTCTTGACTTGTCTTAAGGAGTTTGCAGAGTTTGCAAATTCCAAGGATAAAGAAAACAACATACCAGCCGAGAAATGTTTCAAACTGCCTTACAAGTAAGTCATTCTGGGTACTTGAAAATGCAATTTAGAGCTTTGCATGTATATTTGGCTAAATTTGTGAATCAGTTCCTGTATCTTTCGCATGCTTAATGGAAGAATCACACATGCATTTGTGGACTTGTAGGAAAAGTCAGAACTCTAAATATATATATATTTTTCTCACTCTATTTTTTGCAGGATTGAGAATGATAGAGTGGAAAACTACTCTATAACGCAGAGCTTCAACAAGCAGGAGAATTGGACTAAAGCTCTTAAGTACACACTCTGCAATCTGAAATGGGCTCTATACTGGTTTGTTGGGAACTCAAATTTCCAGCCTCTTTCGACAACGGTTTCTTCACATGACGTTCCTGCTGCAGGATCTTTGTACTCGCAACGCACTGGTGACTCCAAGTCTGAATCTCGAAACTTGTCAAACCAATAGTACAAAATTACCTCCTAAGCAACTTACCATTTGTAAGTAAATCTACTGATACAATGAATCTGGTTCAATTCATAGCCAATCATTTCTAGATGTGTGTCATGTTACTTGTGGGTTAGGTTCTTAGTACCACACCACAGTTAGCTTTGTATGAAAGTACAAAATTAAGTTCTGTGTAAACATTTATTCCAGTATTAATATAATGGCCTACACTGTATATTTAAAGCACTTTTCAGACCTTCATCAACATGTTTTGTGTTTTATTATATACTTGCCTTGGCTGCATAAATGTTGCATGCTTGATGATCAGGAAAAGTTACCATTCCCTCTTGCTTGAATTTTATCGTGCCTGTGTCTTTGGCAGGATTTGTAGTTTTGAAATGATACTTTCCTAGGTTGGAGGTGTGCTTTGGCAATTGAATAGAAAATAGGAAGATGATGATTCATTGGATTAAAGATAGTCTTTTTGGCAGAAATGTTTTGCTCTTTAGCAACTATGTTCCCCATTTTATTTATTTATTTATATTTAACGTAAACCATGAGGCTCTGTTAACTGGAATGAGCCTTGACCTTGGTAATACCATGCCAGGGGCCAAAACTAGGATGCCAAAGACAAAGACCTTTGTCGTGGTGCAACCCTTAATTGGTTGGAGGTCCGTTATCCACTTTGGAAACCTAGGTTGAATCCCTTGAATCCATTGTGTGGACCAAAGGCTTCTTGGTCCATAGGCTTTGTATTAAAATTATTCACAGTTTCATTAATAACATTATGAGTGTTTACTCTCCCTTCCCTTACACCGTTCTACACCACCGTCATAGTTTGCCCCTTTTAAACTGCATTTAAAAAGGGCTCATTAGTTCCGATGGTGTTTAGTTTGTCTCATTAAATTTGAAAACATTTTTTTGCTTGAATCAGCCCATTTTTTGCTTACCAAAGAAAAAAGACAACCCAGTGCATTGAGCATATTTGCATTTCGGCCCATATTTGTGCCATGTTTTGATGTCATGCTCTAAAAGTCCATCATTAAGAACTCACGTTTCACGCATTCATGCCATGCACAATTCTTTGCATACATCATAAAGCTAATGAAGGTCAAGAAGCAACGTGCAAGTAACTTAAAATAATTCCATAAAGACGCATAGGAATAGGATTGTGCAACTACAATTCCATGTGCAACTTAAATCATAATAGTTGCATGGTATTGAACAAATCTCTCTCTCTCTCTCCATATATATATATACATACAACCTCTCCATCACAACCATCAACTACAATTTTCACAACAGATAAACTCACTAAATTGTTCCGGAAATCTTTCCTCTCTGGTGCAAACATGCATCGCCTGCTCATGTTTCTGGCGATTTTGTTACCAGCCATGTCAGGGCCGGCCACGAGTACCACTGTGCCTACACAATGCCATTTATGCGCTAGAGTTGCTGCTGAGCTGTCACCATGCCTTCCATACATAATAGGAATCAGCAACCACTCCGTCTCAGACACAGGGAAAGGGCCAAAAATGGCTTGTTGTGCAGGTGTTAAGGACATAGCTAGGTTGGCCAAAGAAGGAAACGACAGGAAATCTATCTGCAGATGCATACAGATAGCAATGCTTTTAGTTGGATTTGTTGATCCCAAACGCATCACTGAGCTTCCTAAAATATGTGGGGTCTGCGTTAATATACCACCAATCGACAAAAACTTTGACTGTGACAAGTATATATTTCTCTCTCTCATGCATAAACACATGCACACGATTAATGCATTCTTGCCAGGAACAAAGAACATAGACTAGTTTGGGTGCAGTTGGATCTAATGATCCCTCTTATTCCCAAAAAATGTGGGGTGCCCAATAATGATGGTTCCTAACAACTCTTGCTCTCTCTCATGCACAAACACGTGCACATGATCAATTCATGCTCGTTAGAAACACAGAAACAAGTCACAGAATCGGACAAAACATTGTTTTGTAACCTATTTCTATGTGCAAGCATTGGGTGCTTATGATCCCTCTAGCATCCATCTTATCCCCAATAAATGTTGGTGCTCATTAATATACTTCCAATAGACAACAAATTTGAGGTTTCAAGTAACTCTCACAAATACATGCACACAAAGAAAGCATGCTTGTTAGGAACATAGAAACAGGTCACAGAATTGGACACAAAACACAATTCTGTGACCGATTTTTATGTGCAAGCATTGGGTGCAGTTGGGTCTTGCTATACCTCTGGCATCCCTTTTGTCCCCCAAAAATATGGGGTGTGCTTTAATCTGATTCCAATCGAGCAAAAAATTAACTATTTCAAGTAATTCTCTCTCCTTCTCTCTCAATTATGCTCAAACACATGATGCACATGCTTTTTGGGAATACAGAAATAGGTCATAGGACCCGGTGCATGGTTTTGTGACTGATTTTTGCGTGCGTAGTTCAATTGCATGCACACACATGAAGAACACTAACCTAGTTCTCTCGTGCAGGATGTCTTTAGGAGATCTCAGTCCGTACTAGATTTTCACCATGAAGTCCAGAAAGATTACGAAACAACTTTCCAGTCATATATTACTTACACCTTCAAGAGGGATAACATAAATTCATACTTGCATTATTATTTATGCTTTTTAAGTTATTTGTCAACTGTAAACTCTAGCTCTCTTGCAATGTTTAAATTTTAGAAGATTTACAAAATAAATTAGAATGACATTGATGTACCTGAGTCAGGAAATAACATCAATTCATGCTTATATAAATACTTATATCTCTCTCTTTCTCTCTCTCAAAACACACAATAGACACCTACATTGACAACATCCTAAAGCATTACATTATAAAATGAGTTATATTGCAGTATTAATTGGCAATTATTGAAGTAAATAACAAACACGATCATTGCAAGTAATTCATGGATAGTAAACTCTCCAGCTTCTCATCAGTTTGTGGTTTGTTTAGTGCAGAATAATTTTTTTTTTATTAGTTTAATAATATGTCAGAATTGTTTATACAGTCATTGTTTACAATTTATGATATAAAAATAATTTAAATTTTTTTAAAAAGGTGATTATTTAAAAATTGAGTAAGAAATGCTTTTAATTTTTACTTTTTGATGATCATTTTTTAACTTGTAACAAGCTAAACCACCGAACAGAGCCTTTCCCTCTCTTGATAGGAGCATGCTATTCAACAATGAGAAGGAAATTAAAGGTTGTACCTGTGAATGGGAAGTTAATACATGGAAAGAGGAAATAATCCAATCCAATTATATATTTTTTTGGGCACATTCCTAATAGATCTTGGCTATCATAGATGTGCAGAATCGCGGTTCGAATCACACAATAAAACAGTAAAAATAATAAACACAACACATACAAAAATAAAAATACAAGATGTATGTGGTTCGGCAGGTGTACCTATGTCCATGTCGGTGAGAAAGAACAATTCTAGTATACTCAATATGCATTATAGAAAACTCTCAACCAACACAAGATGTATGTGGCTCGGTAGGGTACTTTACAGTACTTTTGAGCATATAGTAAACATAAAACATCTAACAACAATAGATTCGTATGCATAGTGTTTGGTCATTAATTCTCTAAAAATATTTCCCTACCTTTTTTGCAAAAAATAAAAAATAAATCATAACTACTTTTCTCTCTTATTAAAAATTGAAGAAGCAATAAGCGGCATAATCCCAAGTCACAAAAACCGAAGGAACATGCATCACACACGCAAAAATTGAAAAAATACCAATGATGTCCTAGTTTGCGACAAAGGAAAAAACTTGCTGAAAATATAAAATAAAAAATAAACATAACTTATAGCTACTTGCCTCGCATATTAAAAATGAAAGAAGCAATAACCCCAGGTCGGAAAAACAGAAGGAACACGTATCACACGTACAATATGCAAAACTCAAGTTGTGTGTAGGATTATTTTATTGGATATATTAGTAATTAAATTAATTTATATGGGTCATTTATTAATATCAAAGAATTAGTTATGAGATGGCATTATATTTTCTATTACTTAGATGGGTAATTTTGTAACTTTGAGAAATTAGGTTAATAAGCCCACCTATATATTATGGCTTTAAGTCTTGGGAAACAAACAAAACAGAGGTGGGGATTCATAGGCGGCTAGGGTTTGAGAAGGTAAAAGAAAAAAGAAAAGAAAAAGAGAAGAGAGGTTCACGTGAGGCTGCAATAGGGATTGGAGGCAACATGTTGGTTATTTTCGAACACCCATTGGTTAAAGTAAAATCTGTCTTTACTGTTAATTGTTAAGTTTATGTTGAGGAATTTAACAATCAATGCATTAAGGGAATTTGGTAGATCTTTAGGTGCCTACTTAGGTTTTGAGAATTGGGTGGAATGTGTAAGTGTACCTTTGGATGGGTAATAGAATCAATGGAGTTTTGTATTATGGGTAACGGTGTGTTTGGCTATAAAGTTGGGTTGAATGGTTTGATCACTTGGATATTAAAGCAATACATTAATCTAACATGATAGGGCTTTTGTGGGTGCATGTAACACGTAAAAATATTAATTTATTTGAGGTTTTATTTATTAGGTTTGTGTGGTTAAAGTGGTGGAGCTGAGTGTTTGGAGTTAGTGTTGGAATATTGTTTTTAAGTGTTTGATGTAAGTAACCCTCTATCACTGTTGGTATATTTTTATTCCTATTGAATCGTTTAAAATTATAAGTATTTATTCATAACCTTCATGTTCTCTTAAAATAAAATATGGATCAAGTATAAAACAGTATCGAAAATTATTATGAAAATTATTTGAATATTTTGTGGAACTATTATGAAAATTGTACTAAATATTTATTCTGAAAATATCGAAAATTTTATTTAAAAGTTGTGTATTGTTTGAATTTTGAACATCACTCTAGTCTGACTATGATTTGGCCCCTAGCCAATGGGGGTTATTTATTGGCACAGAAACTAGTTTCTTTTGGGGCTTTACCACCGGCCTATGTGTGGTTCTGGGCCTTGTCACGGGCTAATGAATCAAATCATTGAACCATCTGAATATCGAACCATCGATTTGAACAACGAATTACTTTGAATTATCTTGTTGGCTTTTCATTTAAAATGTATTGTACATTGTTTATTTTTAGCTATGAAACCATCTTACAAATAATTGTTCATTTATTGAACTGTAGAAAAAAATTATATTTATTGGTTATCGATTTATTTATTTATTTTGTATACTTGATCCAGCTAGCAGTGATGGTTGGTTA